GTTCCATACCCATAGTACCCTACCTCTGCAAAGAAGTGAGATAGACACATTTCCTCATCTCTTCTCCAGGGCAGAGTTTGATGATTATGCATTCAATGTTAGCTTTCTGTTCTTTCCATTTACATTTTTGTGATCATTGTGTATGATGTTTTCCTGGTTCTGCTTACTTATGTTCTTACTATAAGTCTTCCCAGGCTTCTTTTTATCTATCACATTCTTAATTTCTTGTAATGCCTTATTTTGTATTACTGTAAGCTGTTTAGCCATTCTCCCACCTATGGGCATCTATTTTATTTCCCGTTCTTTACCATTGCAAAAAGTGCTGCTATAAATATTTTCTTGTATTTAAGGTTGTTTTTTCCTCTGTCTTTGACCTCCTTCTTTTTACAGGTGAGGAAACTAAGGCCTAGAGAATATAAGTGACTTGCCAGTATCACATGGGTAATAAGTAGCTATAGCTAGGATTTGATCTGAAGTCCTCTTGCTCCGAATCCAATGCCCTTTTGATTACATCACGAAGGGAAAAGTTGGCAGGAATGTACGTGGCCAATTCTTGCCTAATTAGGCATTAATACACATTATGTTCTTGAAATGATTCTTAGGGTTTTTATGTATAGAGAATGTCTCATGATGAATTTTTCAAGAGAAGCATATGCTGAAGAGGGATTTGACAGAGGGAACAGAGGTGGCATCACAGTGGCTGAGTAGAGGGAAGTTGATTCAGGGTTAGAGATCCCTTTGGAATATTGCACCAAAGTGTAGGAATAAGCAAAGGGCAAGAAAAATGGAGTGATTGCCTGGGACTTGGGGAAGATGTCCTACACCAGTTTTTGTCTTGTCTCTGAAATAAATGGTCACTCTTGAAGAATAGTATCTTTGTCATTTAGATTAAAAAATAGAATGTTTTTTCCTTATATTAGAAAAGTTATTTTGATTTTACCTATTGATGTATGCTTTCATTTAATTTATTTCTGAATATTTGGCAATTAAACTTCTTTACTCTTTGCTGTTAAACCCTCTATAAAGCACTTTAGATGTGTAGGTGTATACACTTCCAGTAGACAGAAGTAGTTATAACTCAAATGAAAGATTTTTCCTTCAAATTAAAAAGGGAAATAAGACACAATTCCAAAATTAAAAGTCTTATAATAATGAGAGAGCACAGTATTTTGCTTACTATATAACTTGCTTTGAAATTAAGCTGAAATAAATTAGATATAGCTCATAGGGGAAAATAAATTTTTATCTGAGATTGTGCATGATGTATCGCTTATTTATCCTCCTGACGAACAATAGCCTCTGTCTGAATATGTGGTATGTTTAATGTAATTAAGCTAATGTCCATGATTTTGAGGTATAGTGGAAACAATAATGTATTTGGAATCAGAAGACTGAGCTTCCCAAACTAACTCTGTCACTAAATGTCTGTATATCTCAGGCAATTCACTTAATTTCTCTAGGTTTGAGTTTTCCCATCTACAAAATTAAGAGACTGAGGCCAGACGGTCTTTAAGGACTCTTCCAGCTCTACATCTATGATCCTGTGATTTCTGTAAAATCTTACTCTACTCAATGCAAAACGCAAGCTAGATGCTACAGATTCAGAGACAAAGTGGAGACGGTTCTGCCCTCAAGAAATTTACAAGCTACTGAGGATCATATTATAATCATGCTTTGGAGGTAACCTTCCATTCCTGAAGGCGGTGCCAATGGAGTCTGAGTTTTAGTGAGGCTCCCCAAACTGGAAAGTCTTTAAGTATAATTGGCCACCCATTGTGTGTTGATATAAGGAGATCCAACCTAGCTAAACCTGGAAAGGCTCTTCATTGGAAGGTTAGTCACCAGATGATGGATATTTCAGTAGACAGAGTTCATGAAAGGTGAGGACAGGGCATTGTAGTTTGTTTGGGAGGAGGAAGAGAGTCAGCTGGATTGAATTTCAGTAGAATGTAAACTCCTTGAGGACAGAGATGATTTAGTTTTTGTCATTGTTCCCCTGTGCTTAGCACACAGTGGGTGCTTAATAAATGTGGGGCAGCTAGGGGTGCAGTGGACAGAGCACTGGTTCTGGATTCAGGAGGACCTGAGTTCAAATCCGGCCTCAGAAACATAACACTTACTAGCTGTGTGACCCTCAGCAGGTCACTTAACCCCATTGCCTAGCCTCCCAAAAATAAAATAAAATAAATGCTAGGTGAGTGGTTGATTATAATATAGTACTCAGTAGAAGAAAGATTCTTGAGGCCAAGAACTATCTTAATTCTGCCTTTGCCTAGCACAGTGTCTGCCATAGAGCAGGCATTCAATAAACGCTTGTTGAATTCAAGTGAATTAAAAAGCATTTTGTGTGTGTCTGTGTGTTGTAAGTGAGAGTATTTTAGTGTGACAGGCAGCATGGCTCAGTGGATAAAGAATTAGAATCAAGAAGACTCTGGTTCGTATCCTTTCCCTGACACATACTGAGAGTGTGACCCTGGGCAAGTCACTTAATCTCTCTCTCTCTCTCTCTCTCTCTCTCTCTCTCTCTCTCTCTCTCTCTTTCTTCTTCTTCTTCTTCTTGTTCTTCTTCTTCTTCTTCTTCTTGTTCTTCTTCTTCTTTTCTCTTCTTCTTCTTCTTCTTCTTCTTCTTCTTCTTCTTCTTCTTCTTCTTCTTCTTCTTCTTCTTCTTCTTCTTTCCCTCCCCTCCCCTCAACATAAAGGCTTCTTGTTTTAAATGTTCCAAAGATACATGATTTTATCAGTGTGCTCCTTCCAGGAAGTTTTAATGATCTAGGATTTCATGGATATTGGTACTCTCTCCCTCCCTTCTCATCTAAGAGGATTCTTGTCCATGTCTTCCCATAAAGCCTCTACAAATTATCTACCCAACACAATGAAGACCTTCCTCTAAATCAGGGGGTTTTAATTTTGTTTTGGGCCATGGTCCCTTTTGGCAGTCTGATGACGCCTACAGACCCCATCTCAGAATAATATTTTTCAATGCAAAAAAATAAAATATATAGGATTAAAAAGGAAACTAATTATATCCAAAAAAAGATGTGATTTTTTTCCCATCCAAGCTCATGAAATCTAACCAAGGGGTCCATGGACCCCAGATTAAGAATCCCATCTCTAAGTGTTTTAACAGTTTCTTAGGTAGCAGGGCAGCACTTGGACTGTCCATTTGTTATACTTTGCCTTTGCTCCAGGACTGGCTTCTCTATTTTTCCACTCATATATTTCCTGGATGATATTTTTTACACTCCTCTTTACATCCAAGTTATTATTGTAAAGATACTGCAGATCATTTACACTCCCCATGCACCTCTCCAGTGACCTATGGACCATGCGAAATTTTGGTTCTCTCCTTACATGTGATTTGCAACCATATGGTATCACCATGAAGAGAGAGAGAGAGAGAGAGAGAGAGAGAGAGAGAGAGAGAGAGAGAGAGAGAGAGAGAGAGAGAGAGAGAGAGAGAGAGATTGGGATTGAATGTATTGAATGTGTGGGGATCTAAAGAACCATAAACCATAGAGGAACCTAGGATTCTCATTGGAGGGAGGATCTTAGGTAAAACTTATCCAATGCAGAACTAGAAAGAACATATAGATTTATTGGGGACCTAAGAACCATAGGATCATAGATCTAGAACCGGAAGGAACCTCAGAACCCATATAATCTTAGCCCCTCCTTTTACAGATAAGGAAATGGAGACCCAGAGATTGTGACTTGCCCAAGTCATGTAAGTAAAGGGTCCCTGAATTATTCCTTGCTACATAGTAAAAAAGTGCTGATAACTTGTAGATTGTCTGGAAATAGGCTGGATGGTTAGAAGTATTCAGATTGAAGGACCCTGGTAAGAATGGTTTCCCATGTTGGACAATATTGGATTCTGTTATTAACAATTGCTTACCTGGATAGGGTTTGCACCTTCAAGTAGTCTTGCTACCTGTAGAAAAGCATTTTCCATCACATCCTTGAAGACTGGCTTGAAAATGTGCTATACAACTCACTATGAGAAGGGGTGTGTGTATTGGATGATGTAGCCCAGTGGGTTGGCAACCTGTGGTCCAAGCGTCAAATCCAGGTCACCTGTTTTTCAACAAACTTTATTTAAAAGTGTAAAAATCATCTTAGCTTTCCAGTCATATAAAATAGGCAGCATATAATAATAATGTATTTGGCCCATGGACTAGGAGATGCTGTAAACCCTTAGCCCCCATACTTTGGGTTGGTGGCAGTAAAAGGCAAAGATCCTGATTCTAACTCAGTATTGTTGTTCAGTCATGTTCAACTCTTCATGACCCCTTTTGGAGTTTTCTTGGCAAAGACATTGCAGTGGTTTGTCATTTCCTTCTCCAGCTCATTTTAGAGATGAGGAACTCAGACAAACAGGGTTAAATGACTTAAATGATGTAAAGATGAGTCTTCCTAATTCTAAGCCCGGTGCTCTATCTACTACGTCACCTTGCTGCCCGATTCTACCTCAGCAGGTCCCTGTAAACTAGCGTAGCCAAATACTTCACTTATAATTTTGTCTTGTTTCCTATGTTTGAATATTTGCCTGATGAATGTTGAATGTGATGAAGTTACTTCCCAAATGACATGCTAGACTCTTGACTCATGTTTACAAGTCATGTGAACTCCATGAAAGAAGAGTCCATGTCTTGTCTAATCCTTGTATTTTCCCCAGCACCTAGCAAAGTATGCTGCACACAGTAGTTACTTAATATTTGTTTGCTGCTTTGACCAAAAGTCTTTCATTTTAGAACAAAGAGCGCAGCACTACATTATTATAGTGTCAGTAGTGTTGTCTGACTTCTTGAGTGAACCTAAGGTGGCTGGTCTAGCTCTTCTGGATCACTTTCCCCCAAAACTGCTTATTTTGCATTAGCAGATGTGTATGAGAAATACACTCATAGCTCTTTTAACATGTACCATGTTTGTTAAAACATTTATCTTTGCACCCATGTTATTTTATTTTTAACAGATTTTTCTCCCCCTCACCTCTTCCACAGGGCAGTTTGCAAAAAGAAAGCAGATTTCTCTTTGGTTTGCTGTCTCTCTGCTGGTGGCCTCCATCTTCATACTGACCATTGGCCTTGCAGCAACGACCAGAACTGAGAATGTGACTGTGGGAGGCTACTATCCAGGAATTATTGTGAGTGCAGCACAGGTGTGCTTGGGATGGTGTGCCAGAAGGTGCCATTTGTGATGTGAGCAGGAAAATTCACGTTTCTTAGAGCCTTTTCTAATTGTTTTGTGCAATGAAATTGGAACATAAAATCACAGAAAGCTTGTGGTCCAGCCCATGTGTCTGGGTATTGCTTGTGTTTGAGATGTTGATACAGAAACCATGCCCTCCACTCTATTACAAAATTACAGAACAGAGTTAGAAGGAGGTTAGTCCAACATGCATCTGAGCAGATGCTCTCTCTCCAACATCCCCAACAAGTGGTTATGCCATCTTAGCTTAAAGACTTTCAGTGAAGGTAAATTCACTACCTCCCAAAGCAGCTCCTTTTACTTTTGGGTAGCTCTTTTCCTTATGTGAAACCTAAATTTCTTTCTTTTTTTTTTTTGTAACTGCTATCTCTTCCTCCCATTTCTACCTTCAAGTCTAACAGAACAAGTACAATCCCTTTTCTATAATACAGCTTTCCAGATGTTCCCCTTGGGTCTTCTAGGATAATAACAACAATAATAAGTAGCATTTATATAGTGTTTAAGGATTGCAAAGTACTTTACTTTTTAAAAAATTATTTTATTTTTAATTTATGGAATAAAACAAGCATTTCCATAACATAGTACAATAAAAAAAACAGATGATTGCTCATGAAACTGCAAATCTACTATGCACTACTTCCTATTCCTTTCAAATACACATCAACATTATCATATAAATATCTTTTTTAATCCTTTTTTTCTTCCTTCCCACCCCTACTGCTCTAGAGATGCCCTAGAGAATATATATGTATATATGTGTGTGTGTGTATATATATATGTATATATACACGTATATACATATATATGTATATGTATGTGTGTGTATATATGTATATATATATATATATATATATATATATATGTACACACACACACACATATATATATTCTATACATCTATCAATTCTTTTTCTGGATGCAGATAGCGTCTTTCTTCGTACATCCTTTATAGTTAATTTGGGAATTTGTAATAGTCAAAACAATTTATTCACTCAAAGTCATTCTGAAAACAATATTGCTGTTACTGTATGCAGTGTTCTCTTGGTTCTGCTCATTTCACTCTTCATTATTTCATGCAAGTCTTTCCATGTTTTTCTAAGACCATTGAGCTCATCATTTCTTATAGCACTGTAGTATTCCATCACAATCATATACCACAACTTGGTCAGCCATTCTTCAATTGATGGGCATCCCTGCAATTTCCAGTTTACAAAGTACTTTAAAAATATTATCTTGTCATCACAACAACCCTATTATTATCCCCATTTTATAGTTGAGAAAACTGAGGCAAACCAAGGTAGAGTGATTTGCCCAGAGCCAAACAACTAGTGAGTGTCTGAGGCTGGATATGGATTTAAATCTTCCTAACTCCAGGTTTGGTGCTCTGTCCACTACACCATCCAGCTGCTTCTAGTCTAACCATCCCCAATTCCTTCATTCTGTCTTCATATGACTTGGATTTGAGGTTCTTCATCAGTCTGATTGGCTTCTTCTGGGCATTCTCCAGTTTATCAATTTCCTTCCCAAAATATGGTATCCACAATTGAACCCAATACTACAGATTTGTTCTGATCTAGAGCAGAGTGAATATACCATGATGATAGTCTTGTTATTTCTAATAGCTATGCTTCTTAATGCAACTCAAGGTCCCACTAGATTCTTGGAGATATCACATCACATCATAATCTCATATTCAACTTTTAGTACCACTGAAATGCCCATATCATTTAAAGACAAACTGCCATCTAACTATGTCTCCCCCATCTTGTACTTGTGAAGTTTTTTTTTAAACCCAAGTAGAAGACTTTTACCATCTTTGTACATTCAGCCCAATGTTCTAGTCCAGAGGCATAAAACTTGCTTCGCAGATGCTCCCTTTACAGAACCAGATTAAAACATAATTGGGAAATGTTTAACAAGATAAATAAAGATACAATGCAACACAGATAATGTTAACTTGTGGTTTTCTAAAGTAATATGCAGCCCACAGGGATCTGTTCCTATTGGAATGTGATACCACTATTATAGTCCATCAGGATGCTTTTGGGTCTCCAGGTATTTCGGTTCACCATGAAATTCGTTGGAATCTTAACTCTGTCCTAAAGCAATTCACTTATCTCTGGACAGTTTAGCGGGAGGCATTTCATGGAATTCCATCCAGGCCAGTGTCCAAGGAGCCATTATTTATGTAGCATAGGTAGGCCAAAGTAAATTTATTGGCCCCATGGCCCCTCTCTCTCCCTTGGCTTCCTCCTGTAACTCTTCTGGCTTCTCATCAGCTGAGAACTTCCTCTTTCCTCTGTATCTACTTTATACACTTGCAACTGTGAAAAAATTCTGGTGAGGTCAAGTCAAGAAGTATTGTTTACTATATGTGCTAGACATGGGGCTAATTGGCAGGGAAACAAATACAAGCAAAAAGAAAGACTGCCCTCAAGGAGCTTATAGTCTAACAGGGGAAGGCAGTACATAAAAGGGAGCTGACAAGGGGAGAAGCAGGTGCCTGCCCAGGGGCATGGTGGTGAAGCCCAGAGGGTCAGAAGCAGAGCAGTGAGTAAATGATGAAGGATGACTGGCCTGGGCCCTTCTGCAAAGTGGTGATTCAGTGAGGAATTCTCCAATGGGAGTAGGGGGCTGCAGGGACAGTGGGAACTTCAAAGGCAGGGAGAGAGGGGAAAAAATTGTAGTAGGTATGTAGTAGGAGCAGGGGCAATGCCCTAAGGCAAACAAGCCAATCCATGGAAACAACCTCTGGAGAACATTCTGCAACAGAAACAGAGAACTTGGATTAAATTCACTCTAGACTATACTGAGTGATGATGTCTTACCTTGCATGCTTCTGCGTCTAAGAATCCCTGATTTAAAGTTTACCCCAAATGCCATTTGATACGTGACACCTTTCCAGATCCCTTCAGCTGACTCCCTCCCTCTCACCAGAGATTACCTTGTATTTATTCTGTATTTATTTTGTGTATATGCACATGTGGTTTTCTCTGATAGAATGTAAGCTCCTTGAGGGCAGAGACCAGTTTATTTTTTCTTTGTATCTCTATGTTTAGCACAGTGCCTGGAAGTAGGAGAAACTTAAAAATATTTCGAGGTTGATTTATCATTGACTAATGTACCTTGAATTTCCCATCTTTGGTGAGTGATCTAGGTTGAAAATATGGACCGATATAAATAAAATTCAACCAGATCTCCTTGTGTAAAGTCCATTTCCTGTCATTATGTTTTGTTCTTTCCATAAGTAGAGTTTTCTTAGAGGCTGTGAGGATGTGAGTGTATACTTTTAAATTCACTAAGCCCTAGTTTCCCCTTTCAAAATCACCTATTGTGCTACATATACTAAACCTAAGAATAAGAATGAAGTAGAGTGAAATGTACGTGATTTTTATGCCTCCCATTCCTGCTTTCAGAATAGGATTTTTCTTTCAGAAATGTAAAGGGCAATCTAGAAACAAAAGGTGATATGAGATTGGCACTACATAAACATATTTAAAATGAACTAAATCTGCCTAATTTGTTCCACATAGATAGTCAATATGGATAATTTGGGTCATGGAAAAGCATAGAATTTTAGAACTAGAAAGAACCTTAGGGATCATCTAGTCAGACCCCCTAATTTCACATGTGAAAATATTGGGACTCAGATAGTGAAGTGACTGGTTTAAGGTCATATAGGTAGGATAAGGAAATGGACCTGGAACTAGAATTCCAGCCAGGATAAGGACCTGCAACTAGAATCCCAGACTCCAGAATCCCAGCTCAGTGTTAATTCCACTTCATAATTCATTCTTTCATTCCTCAAATTGCAAGGGTTTGTTTTATTTTTTTAACCTTATTTCCTGAGAATATCTTCAACTCTTAATCATCCCTTTTCCTTAGCAGACATAGCTTTGATGAGTTACCCCTATGGTTTTAATAATAAAAATAGCTAACACGTATACTTTTAGGTTTGCCAAGGTCATTTAATCCTTGTAAAAACCCTGTGAGGTGGGCGCTGTTATTATCCCCATTTTACAGGTGAGGAAGCTGAGACTGATGAGAGGTTAAGTGACTTGCCCCGGTTCACTAGTCAGTGACAGGGCCTCGATTTGAACTCAGTTTAGTAAAAAAAAAAAATGGAATCTGCTCTCCTTTTCACATTGGTTAGTATCATGTACCTTCTCCACCACCTTTCACAGTTCCTCAGTTGGAATGCCTTGGAAAATGCCTTGCCTCTTACTTTTACTTGTTTTCCTGACTGTAAGAAGCCTGTAAAAATGACTTCTTTGTTTACAGATTTTTTTTGAGTGTAGCCAGCTGCCATTGTTAGCCACAAGTCAGAATGTAGGCCCTGGGGAATCCCGTAATAGGTTCTTCTCTTGGCATGCTCTAGCATAAGCATCTTTCAGGATGTCATCTAGGTCAATGTGTGGGTACAGCTGTGGAGAGAAGGGTAAGGATCTAAGTTGTCAATAGTAAAGGCTTTCCCTCTGCGGTTTTAGAACTACATGATTTTTCTGCAAGTACATGAAAAAACATTGGATCAACAAATAGTTAGAATTTTTTTCTTTAAAAATTTAATTTATTTAATATTTATCCTAATAAATAATATTAATGACATTAAAATATAAATAGGATATCATTGCAGATATGATTGTCTAAGAAATATAAATATTTTGGCAATGGATCAAAATATTCTGAATGGAACAAGATTGTTTAAAGTATGTTTTTGGAATTAAATCATAGAAAGGATGAATTCTCTGTATTCATTGGCTTGACAAATGTGTCATTTAAATGACTTATGTGGGACACTAATTAAAGTTCCTGTGTACAAGCCAGCAATTCATTGTAATGAGCTGGTCTTAGGAAGAAAATGATGTCTGTGTTGCAAATGGGAAAATATTCAGCAGGCTTTCAGAAGTCATTGTTGAAAAATAGTTAAAGAATGAG